GGGCAGACAGATGGATGGGTAGAAAGATAGATAGATAGATAGATCTAGATAGATAGATGGATGGATGGATGGATGGATGGATGGATGATGGATGGATGATGGATGGATGGATGGGTAGGTAGGTAGGTGGGTAGGTAGATTGATAAATAGGTGGATAGATGGATGGATGGATGGAGACAGACAATCAGACAGACAGAAATGCAGATAGACAGGCAGACAGGTAGACAGACAGACAGACAGGCAGGCAGATTGACAGACAGACAAACAGACAGACAGACAGACAGACAAACAGACAGACAGAAAACAGGGTTGTAAATGTTTTACTCCCCAGTGACACAATTCTGGCATGTTAGGAGGCTGGCTGCCTTTACCAGCCTGGGGGGCGCAGGATATATAAAAATCTGAGCAAACTGATAGAGATGAGAGATATTATTTTTTAAGTTTTAGAAAGAGTTTTACAGCACTTGCAACACAATAAGGTCTTATAAGTGTTGAAGATAAGATGTGTTACAAGGGAGTAACAAACAATAAAGTTGAAGGGGAGATACGGAAGATAAATGTTTGATAGGAAAGAAAAAGCAAACCACACCAGAGCACCCGCCAACCGGCCACAGAAATACCCAATACAATAAGCTTCCCCTTGCTGGAATCAAGGTCACACCTCCTTCACATGCCAAGTTAAGAGCCAAACCATAAACCATAACATCAAACAATGGTACAGACAGACATACAGACACATAGACACACAGAGAGACAGATAGATGGACAGACGGACAGACAGATGGACAAACAAATAGACACTTAGACAGACAGACAGACAGGCAGACTGAAAAAAGATAAATAGACAGAATGACAGAATATAGATAGGAATACATAGAGACACGCAGCTAAAAAGATAAATAATGTAGACAGAAGGACGAAAGAACAGGTAAAAGCAGAGATGGATAGATGGGCAGATACTGACAGACCATGGGACAGAAAAATAGACAGACAAATAGATAAACCACTCCACAAAATTCATTAAATGTGACCAAAGCGTTCACAGAATGTGAAATTAGCTCTGTATATATGCTACAACAATCCAAATCATCCCGTAGGATGGGAATGGCCCTTTTATTATACTCCTATTTTTCAAGCTTTGTTCTGCATCATTTTCATAACAACAGCTCTTGAAGCTACTGTACTGAAAGCTAAGCATGACAGATGTTCAAACACTGAGCTGATTCCAAATTTCTGGAAAAAGTTCATTATGCTAAAATCAAAAGGCAACATATTCCCCACACTCCAGCGGCCTCCCCCCTCACCTTGCACACATACCCCTACGATGCCCTTGATCCCTTTTGCAATAAATATGATATTTAAAAAGAAACAGTTTTACAGACAACTAGAGCTATTATGATTTATGTCAAAACCATCCAAAAGGGACAAGATGGCAATTATAAAGCCCTTCATTATAAAAAAAATATTATAACCAGCATAAAATTTGCTTAAGTGACAACAGCTGCAGTGCAACATCGTGGAAAAAAGCATTAAAAAATATCAATTAACTTTTGTACATGCTTTTGGCGTAGAACAAGAAATTAAAACCCTTTAATTCAGCCACTATAGCAACAGCTGGCCACACCATATATTCTAAACGGATTGACATGACATTTACTTACGACTGAAAACACACAACAACTCAGAATTACCATGTGAGTAAACTTAAAACATAAACAATATCAAGCACGAAGAAAAACAAACACTTTTTGATTCATAACCCCATTAAAAAATCAATCTGGAACCCTGCGGCACCTTGCCTACTCCGGACAAAAGCTATAGTCTGCCAGTACTATCCACAGCAATAATATCGCAATATTGATAAAAGGCCTCTAAAATTCAAAGAGCAAGCAACTCATAAAAGCCAAAACATAGCTTGTGATCATTATATAAACAAAAGAAACAATAACATGCACTGCAGAGTATCAACAGGGTCCACCATCTGTGAGGTTCAATTCTGGACAGGCCTTCTGTGGCAATAGTAGGGCCTACAGTGCTAAATTAAAGCTTCCAGTGCACACGATACTGCTCACACCAGAGTGAGAAGACATACATCGCGCTCACTCATGAAAAATAAGGGGAACTTGCATTACCTTCAAACAGGAGATGACAGCTTGCAGGTAGTGAATAGCCAAGATCTGTGTGTACCGTCTGTTCTGTTCACTTTTCACACACACACTATCTACATAATGTTATGTTGTCCGGAGAGAGGCAAGAAGAGAGAGAGGGGACAAAAAATGAAGCCCATAAACTGTATTGATCAAGCCAGGAGAGAGAATCTGACTGCCCTCCCCTTATGCACAGCATCTCCCCGCTGGTTCCATCGATCTGCTAGCGGCCTGCGATCAGGGGATAAAAGGAAGGAGAACGAAAAAAAAATCGAACTGTCGTGTGAATGGCTGGCAAGGCTGGAAACTGGTGGCCAGCAAACCAGATTGTGCCAGTGAGATGCCCCGCGCTCGCACGCGTATCCAAGACAAGTGACGGAGAGCTGGTTTGGGATTGGGGAGAAATGTATTGTCCCTATTTCCTCGTCTTGGCCTACTTACTTTACTATCAACACTGTGCATGTATATTCTTCTGCAGCCTTCGTTTGACCCTTTTCTAAAACTTTTCAGTAATACTGTTTCAACTGAAAACTCTAAAACAACAACACGAAAAGGTAAATGTAGTTAGAAATTAACTTACCTGCGCAGTTCTTTCAGAGCTTCAGCACTAGATCTAGATCTAGATCTAGATCTAAATCTAGATCTAATAATTTGGGGTGGAATCTCGAGTCTTGACAACCCTCTCTGGTCTTCAGGCGGACCACAGGTTGTAAACAAACGTACTGTTGCAAAAATTGTCTTGGCACACAATCACTTCCGCACTTTGCACAGCTGTTTTGAAAGTTAGACAACCTACTCTATGTAAGAATCCGTTCCTGTGGTTATGCAATTTCAAATTTTTTCACGATCACTGCCAGAACGAGAAGTTAAGTTTCAAATCCTACACTGATTCAAAGCTAAAAAAAAAGATAGTCACATGATTTAGCCTATAATGCTTACATGTACAAATTCTTTCGTTGCTACGATATCCCTGACAGGTTTTTAAGCTGCCACCTTTTGTTTACAGTCGCCACTGCACTGACTGCTAGCTGCTGCCATTGCCACAAATCGATCGGAAAACCCCTTGAGATTTCTCAATCACCAGTTAGGCCTAGACTCATCGACTGCATGCAGTTGAACATTTCTGCCCGAAGCTCTTGAGGAAAACACTGTTCATAAATATACAGCAAGCATGTAAAGATTGTTTTTACGGTGAGGAAAACACTTGACTGAACGTTGTAGATCACAAAAAAGAGAAGGCATTCTTAGTAATCTTATCTTCCCTTCTTAGTCTTAGCGTCTTAGTTAGATCTAGAAATCTAGTAGATCTACAATCTAGATCTAGATCTAGATCTATATCTAGTTCTAATAAAGTAAAGACTAATAGTAATGGGTGGTTCTGCTTAGCTTGAGTAGTAGTAGATAGATCTAGATTCTAGATTCTAGATCTATATCTAGATCTAGATCTAGTAGATCTATCTATCCAGACTCTTGCTTCGATACACCGAAGCTGGGGCCAGGGCGAAGAGCATGTTACTAACAAATTAAAATGAGTTAGATCTAGATCTAGATCTAGGACCGGATTATAAGGATGATGATGTAGATCTAGTCTAGAGTACAGTTGCCCCTTACCAGCCGCCCCCCACTTTCCGGCCGATTCGAACTTAGACTGGACTCCGTGCCAATAAAATCGAAATTTTATGACTAAAATGGTTTCAATTGTCAATTTCTTTGCACCTGCACATTCTTTGTTTACCCTACCACACATCCACCATCACAAAAGCCTTGAAGCAGAAAATCCTTTCGTTGTTTGAAGCAGAAAACATATCCAGGTGAGGGTAAGATTGAACTTTGGTGGACCCACCATTGAGGGGGGCCGGAACTACTTTTGGGCGTCGTGTGATGCCATGCACTGGTCCA